CCAGAGGAGCAAAAGAAAACCCCCACCCCCACCAGCACTGGCAAGGCAGGCCACAGCAGTTAAATAGAGAGCAAACCCCATCCCATTTTAGCACTGAAGATGTTACCTAGCTAGGTAATGAAATGTTTGCAAGAAAAGAACCAAACTCAGAGAACCCGAAGGACTCCAAAGTTACAATTATGTCTTCATAATTATCTTAAAACTTTGGGCTTTTAATATTAGGTCTACTCTTTCCTTTCGTTTAATAACTAGACTGAAGAGTTCCAAAGAATATAGACACTTGATCTTGACTCAATATTTCTGTAGATCTGGTACTATTTTCCTATTTTTTAAAATTATTTTAGTCCAGTCAAAATGAGATATTTATATTTTGTTTTGGAGTCCAAAACATTTACTCCTGGGGTGGGCTAAATATTCACTTGGAGAATTAGCTATCTGTTCCTATAGCCAGGTTGGATTTTATTATTAACATTATTAAGTACACAAAATTTGAAGTTCAACTTATCTTTATTTCCACAAATCTAGAACATTTTTTAATTAACTCAATATAAAAAAGTTATCTTGCTTGTGGCTGACACAAATGTTTGCACTTTCGGGCATTTCTGTATCACAGTTGAGTTCAGTAGTCATATTGCAAATAAATGGACACCTCCTTAATAATGGCCCAGCTGCTAGTGTTTAAAAAGGCAAACAATTTAAAGTCAGGCAGGTAGAAATAAAGTGGCAACATTCTGGAGGTGTTAGGACACCACTGGATGATGCTGCCATTTTTCAGAAACACTTAAAATAACCACATCAAATGAAAAATTATACTATAAGCATTGGATTTTTTAATAGGTCTTAATGAAACATTGTGCTTCGATCTAGTGCAGAAGAAGCCGGTTGGTGAATGTGATGGTGCATACACTAAAGGAAACAGGGTAACCACAAACATGTTTTTCTTTTTATACCGGAAACACCTGCCCTGAAAAGAAAATAAAAACTAGTTCACTCAAACTGTGTTGAAGAGAAACCAAACAATTTTCTTCCTATTAGTCCATTTTAAATTTGATTGAATCCACACAGTTTATCTCAAGCAATTCTCCCTAATTGAAACACTGCATGTTTGGGAAAAAGAGCAGAAGTATTTTCTTGAGGAAGCAGGTAGTTTCATGTTCCTTATGAAGCTGACTTCTATGCATGTTTACTCAGAAGTTACCCTGTCACTGAATCCTGAAGACGCTTGTGGGTCTAAACAGGAAAGTGGACATTAACCTTAAAGAGAAATTTTGTGCAAATATGCTTAGGAGTGCTTGGGGTTCTCTGAACTTGGTTGTTTTCTTGCTGTGTAAGAACATTATTCTGATGAGCACAAATGTACTGCAGCAACCCAGAACAGCAGAAAAAGGAAACACACCACCTATACATCATCTTTCAACAAAATGGATACCCACACAAATTTACCAAAAAGTGCCTGACCACTCAACCCACTACAGCACAACCAACACAAGCTATGAAAAGGATAACATACATCAGAAACGTCTCAGAAACAACCAACAGTCTATTACAACCACATGGCACCACCATAGCATACAAACCAACTAAAGCCCTCCAAAACATCTTAAGTAAACCAAAAGACCGAATAGCCCAAAAGAAAAAACAGCAATCATCTATAACATAAGGTGTAAGGACTGCAACAGCCACTATGTAGGACACATAGGCAAAAAACTAGCAGAGCGCATCCATGAACACCAGCTAGCACTCAGAAGACACGATGAAAACTCCTTAATCTCACAACACACGGACAGACTCGACCATAGTTTCAACTGGGAAACTGTGAGCATCCTAAACCAAGCCAAATAAAAAAATGCTAGGGAATTCCTGGAAGCATGGCACTCAGCCAAATCAGCCACCAACAGGCACATAGAGATAAACCACATTTACACACCATTCAAAAAAGACAATAAAAAAGCTAAGAAGGAAACAAAAAGACCAGACTGCATCCTCTCCAGTAACCAACACCCAGATAAACAGGGATTAACACCAGACAAACGATCAAGCAGTAAACAACAGCCTAATCTAGGAACTACCAAGAAAAAACAACTTCCCCACCAACACTGACAGGGCAAGCTACTGTATACAAACAGAGAGCAAATCCCACTCCCTTCTAGCACTGAAGAAGTTACCTAGATGGGTAACAATGTCTGCAAGAAAACAACCAAGCTCAGAGAACCCCAAGGACTCATAGTTCAACCCTGAGCTACATATGTTCTCTTCTATTAATATGCTTAGTTCAAAAACTTATTGTGTAAATGTGGTTAAGTAAATGCCCTGTTGGACCAGACTTATCACCAGGCTGTAAAACTGCTGTCCAAAGATTTTTATGTAGGAACAAATTCCATTAAATGCAATGATTGGTTATTTTCCTCTTGCATAGGATTAAGCTGCATAATTGTTTCCTAGTCTCATTAAAAAAAAAAAAAGTGTTGTCAGTGGGCAGCAGATGTTACACAGCATTATTCTAAGCACTTTTGGCTTTCATCCACAAAGATATAAAATCTTTTCTGAAAATATAAAGTTTAGATGAACCACTAAATGATATGAGTATGTTGTACCAGGCGTAGCTGTTACAGTAAATAAGTATAAACATGTTGTATAGCACAGTAAGTCAGTTTCTCAGCAATAGTTTATTAAACAGATCATAACCAACTGGACTTGTGTGTGCGTGTGCACCTTTGAGTCTGTCTTGACTCCTGGCAACTATATTGACAAATCCATGCAGCTATTTTTGGCAGAAGGGATTTGCTATTTCCTTCTTTCCAGGTGTAAGAGAGAGTGACTGACCCAAAGTCACCCAACTGGTTTCTGTGCCAAAGACAACACTAGAACTAAGGTCTCCCCATTCTTAGTCCTGAGCCTTAAGTGAAGCAAAATCATAAACTATGCTTAACAAATCACATTGGCTGGGTTCAAATAGCACCCAATGCAGTAATCTAATTTGCTTTGTTTTGGTTTAGCATGTGAATTCAGCTGAAGAGTGGTCCTATGAATGTTAGGTCCACTAGATTTATTTAACCTCACAGGATTTATCTATAAACAATAGTCCAAGCCCATAATTCCTTCAAACAGCACATTTAGCAGCATTCTGTTTGTAAATAATAAAAAAAAAATTAAAAATCAACAGATTCAAACTGCTAAGATTATTTCAATCACTTAATTGATTTATGTTCCATTTTTCCATACAAGCAGGATGAAATAGCTTACTAACAAACCTAACCTCTCAAGGGAAAAAACCCTCAATCATACACTATTCTTAGGGTCAGAGAAATAATAATTATAAATAATAATAAAAATAGGAATAAAGGCTTGGAAATAATAATAAAGGATTTGTCTTCATACTTTCCTTATGGGTTTCTGTTAGTACTTGGAAGGCCACTGTGAAAAAAATACTCCAAGAGAATACATATAGCTGTGGGTTGAGTTGTGGAGGCTTTGGCACTCTCTGAGCTTGGTTGTTTGCTTGCAGACGTATCATTACCCAATTTGGTAACATCATCAGTGCTGATGATCTAACCTAGTCGGGTAAAGAAATGTTTGCAAGCAAACAACCAAGCTCAGACAGTACTAGACTCCACCAAACAAACAAACAAAAAAAAGAATTAAGGTTTTATGTGTTTATATATTTTATGTTTTAATGTTTGTTGTGAATCGCCCAGAGTTCCCCCCTTTGGGGGAGATGGGCGGTTGAAAAATGAAATAAATAAATAAATAAATAAATAAATAAATAAACAAACAAACTAGATTTCCTGGACCATTGGTATCTAGTAAGATTTTCATGACCAGAAACCAAACAGACCACAGAAGACCATGACTCTATTTGGACGATGCACTTACTCTTGGGCATCTGAACTATAGTTTACTGCATGAGCTCATTTGTTTGGATTCATATATGCCATTCCACTATAAACCTATTACCAAATGGGCTGCACTTGCACATCAGGCTAGCCTAATATGTGGCTCAGTGCGTCGTGTTAGTACATACAGTCCATGATTGAGACCAGTGGATATACAGGATGCATGTACAGTATGGCATCTGAAAATAACCTCTTCCTCTAAAGGAACATAGGAACTAACTGACTCAAGCACATGGTAACAACCACGTTGGAGGGAAAATGAGGGCACATCTTAGATAGCACAAGGTGACAAAAAATGGACCTTTTTCCTCTTCCCCTTCTCTGATCCCACACATTCAGGTTAAGGCTGCTGCTCTAGCACAACACTGGACATGTTGCCTTCATTCTAAATCAATTACATTAAATTCTCACCCCTACTTCTGAGTCTCCTCCTGGCCCTGAACAATACAGGACCCTGCATGTGATCATACGGCCTACTCCGGGGTGAGAATAAAGGGCCGCCTACAATATTGAACTGCTATACCTTTTAGGGGATACATTGATCAAGTTCATTTTACAGAATACAAACCACCACAATTCCTTAGAGAAGTTTAAATTTGGAGGACAAAACACATTCAGGAGCTTCCCAGATTAACCCGGACTCCCTTTTTCCTCAAGGGCCTTCGGAGAAAAGAAAAACATTTTAATTAACGTTACTAATCTTTAACTAGCTGGCTGGAGGTAAGCCTCTTATCTAAATAGCCCCAAGGCACGGCGGTTACGTCCTCATTTGCATACGTACCCAGGGCCTCTGGAGCTGGCCGTTGACCCCAAAGGTCACAGCCCAGAATTTTAAATTCCAACCGCCGAGGAAAACTGACCGACTCCACGCCCCCATCTGGCCTCCAGGGGCATTTGAATTTCAAGCAGCCAATCAGAACGTGGAAAATATCCGCCTTGACAGCTCATTGGCTCACGGGAAATCCCTCTTACCTATAAAAAGGCCGGTCTTGGGCCTTTAACTCAGACTGAGTTGGAGTCTGAATCACTGTCAGCTGTTCGGTCAGCCTGAAAATGAGCCACGCCAGCAACGTGCTTTCGAGGCCCGAAGACCTGAACTGCTGTTTCTGGAACATGCTTCTGTTACTCGCCGAGGAGCCGGCTTTCGAGGGGCTGCGGGAAGCGCTTTCGAGCGGGAGCGCTGCTCCCGTGCATCCCGGCGCGCCGGAGGAGGCTCCCCCCCCGTCGGAAGCGACGAGACCGGGGTATCATCTCTTCGTCGTCTCTGGCCACGAAGCGAATGCCTCCGCCGAGGAGGCGCCCGAAGGCTCTGAAGGAGCGGCCGCTCTGCCGGGAAGAACCCTCAGCGCTGAGGGCACCGCTCGTGCGGGAGAAGCGAGAGGAAACCACCCTCGCCCTCCTAACTGTAAGTAATAAAAGGGGCGCGATCCTCTTCGGGCATGCGCAGAAGGCGGTATCTACACGGGCGCGTGCTAAGCAGGTGCTACCTTCTTTTCCCGCTCGCGGGTTTGTTAGAAAAACAAAGCATGCGCGTTAAGGGAGACTGTTTCCCTCCAAAGGGCGTGCTTGGTTTTGGCGCGTGCGCAAAGCGCTCGCTCCGCTTTCCGCCGGGCGCTTGTGTGCCGCTGTGGGCATGCGCGCCGAGGCGGCTTTTTCGAGGGCCGGGGGAAGCGCGCGGTTGGTTGCCCGGGGAGCTCGTAACCCCGAGGGCCGGGGGAACCCGGGGTGGGGTTGACGGCCTAAAGCCCCCTTTTGGTCTTCCGTGCGCTCCTGGTCCGCTGTCCCGTCCCTGCTGAACCCGAGCGGGCCCAGCGTTCTTGTGAACGCGCTTCACGCGTGTTTCGTTTTTCACGCTCCTGTCCTCGGCTGCGTCGCCGGCAAACTGCCCGCCGGTGCGAAGAGGGCCCTGGGGAGGGGCGGGGCGGGTCCTCCTCCCCGCTGCCCCCCTCGGCATCTGGAAACGAGAGGTGGTCGCGGGGCGCCCAATAAACTTCGATCAAAACGTTGCCGGGGCTTGGGTGGACGGCCGGTGGGTTAAGCCTGGGAGCGATGCCGCGGCTCCGTACGACTCGGGTCTGCCCATCCCGTTTCAAGCGCAACACGTGAACGCCTCGTGCGCTGTTTCTGCGCGGTGCCCGGGAGAGGTTTCCTTTAGCAGCTTGTATTTCCCTGGGGAGAAACTTCCTTCTAGGCTGGCAATGGGGAGGGGGTGGAGGGGGCGGCTGCCGCCCTGCTCCCCTTAACCTTCCCGAGGTGTCCAGTTTCTGGGGGGGCTGATTGGAGCCGACGTTGCAGTCCCTGCTTGCAGACCTTTGGAAAGCAACGTTGCTCCTCGTGAATAGTTGCCGATGGTTTGTTTTGTTCGTTTCTTTCCAGGGGACCCTGTTACTGAAAACCAAGCCCCCCATGGCGTTTCCCCCGGTCCCGAAGGCCCAGGGTCTATCCAAGCCCTGAGGCTAGTTGAGCGGACAGGGCACCCCAGGATTTGGAAAGCATACAACAGCGGCTTGCTGTCGTTCCTTACCTTCCGAGAAGACGCTGGAATGCCTTCTGTTTGGCCAATTCCGGGAATTCAGATCAGAGGCTTTTTGCTTTCTCTGGATTCGCAGGGGGTGTCTGCAGCCAAAATATTTACATATCTGGCTGGCCTTTCCTACATATCCCAGATGTTTAATTTCCAGGATCCCCTTCAGGACTTCTTCACTGTTAATTTGGTGGTAGGACTGCAGTGGCAGCGAGGACCTCCAATCCCGTTGAGCCTGCAGACCCTTGAATCTTTGATGGATGCGCTTGAAAGCGTCTGCCACTGTTTCTATGAGTGCCTTTTATACCGGGCAGTATTTTTATTGTCTTTCTTTGGAGCACTTCGACCTGAAGAGATGGTGGCTGAGAGGGGTACAGCTCTGCATACGGGACTCCTGTGTTTGAGTGACATTGAGATCCAGCAAGACTCCATTGGCCTTCATCTTCGTGCACCACAGATGAGCCAAGGATGGTTCACTTTCTGGTTGGGACTGTCAGAGAAGCCGTGGCTCTGTCCTGTTCTGGCACTTCATAATTATTTGGCAGTGAGGCCTTCCGGTGAAGGGCCTCTCTTCTTGTATGGAAACAGGCATCTACTGTACAGGGAGCGATTCTTGAAAATCTTTCATGCTGCTCTAAGGAGACTTGATCTCCCCTCAGAACGGTATGGTATACAGTCCTTTTGGCTGGGTTCTGTTACCAATGCAGTGCGATATCGCTATCCTGAGAAAGTAATTCTTCATTTGGCAAGGTGGCCATGTGGACCACTTCCTGATGGCCAACTCTAAAAGCCTGAAGATAAAATTATTATATTGATTTATTGGCTCTCCTGCAAGTCAGTATTACTATGTATTATTATTATGGACTGTAGTTAATTCCTTTATTTTGAACAATTACAACATTCCCAAGAGATGGTATCTTGGAATCATCTGCCTCATGAAAGACTGTTGGTTTTTAGCGAGACTGTTTGTACAACAGTCATGACTTTGTCTATGGCATACTAACACAATAGAGTCTAGCTTTGAATCTGAAATTTGTTTCAGATGCTGCACTGAAATTCAATCACTCCTTTGCTCTGGCTGCTTCATTTTAAGACTGCTTAAGTTTTTAAAAAATTTGGCTCTAGGGAAATAGCCATGTTGTAACTGTGTGGACTAGCTGCTAAAGGTTTGCATTTACAGAGCCCAGGTGTGGAAGATTTGCAATACTGAATGTTGCACAAGCAAGCACTACTGTATTCCTCCCAGGCAGGAGAGTAATAATTTTTAAAGTCTTATTCCTTAATTGAGAAGGGAAAGGACTGACTACTGTATATTATCCTATGTATTAGCTACAGGTAGAGTCCAAGCAACACATATTTAGAATGTTTGTACTGCAGAGTCTGGATTTTAATTTTGCTCAATGAAGTGAACTATTTTGTTTTTTTACTATGAATGGATGAGCTAATATGGTGTAGGGGCGAGAGTCTCAAGTGAAGATAAAACAGATCCTCCTCTGCCATGAAACCTGTTGGGTGACCATGGATCAGTGCCTTTCTCTCAGCCTAACTTACCTCACAGGCTTGTGATGAAGAAATTGGGTAGGAGAGACCCTGAAATGCTACTTGGAACAGAATATACATAACTAGCTTTTTGAAAATTTGATTTATATTAGTTTTTTTTGTTTGTTTTGGTCTGCTTTTTTGAGAATTTAATCCTGTGTATGCTGCTGTTGGGAACGTTGGTTTCCAGACTGCTGTTGGTTTTGTAATATACTCTGTAACTGACAATTTTGTAATGTAAATTTTTGTAATAAAAAATTTGGATAAATAAAGTATATGAAACTTCAGTTGTATCAAGAGATTTTCTAAAGCTTTTACTCTTCTTACTATCTCGGCTTTTGGTTAACATAAATTAGTTTTCTTCATCTTGTCCCTTATTTGGACTGGACTCTCTGTAGCTCATTTTCCCCATCCCTTGAAAGTGGTATGGAAGACAGGCATTGCTGGGTTGCACAGGAAAACTACCTATTTCCAAGGAGAATGTGGAGTGCTTTTTTTTTCAGTAGTTCACTACTGTGGCTTGTAAATCCCTCATGTCTACCAGCATGAAACTTGGCCAATGATGCATCAGTGAGCTGTGGCCTAAAGATCAGGTCCCCCCACATCCTGTTGACCAGTAGTGTGCTGGAACTAAATCCCACTCAGTTTGACATGCAGGTTTTGATTTGTGGGAGTTAAGAACTGCATGCCAGGAGAACAAGCCCTGTTGTGTAACTTTTTAAAAAAAAATCTATTCAATCATGTCCAATTCTCCGAGACTGCCTGAACAAGTCCCTGCCATTTTCTTGGCAAGGTTTTTCTGAAATGGCCTGACATTGCCTCCTTCCTAGGGCTGAGAGAGTGTGACTGGCCCAAGACTGGCTCTGCCTAAGGTGGGACTAGAACTCAGTCTCCTGGGTTCTAACCTGGTGCTTTAACCACTCTGTTACATAACTAGGTTCATATGAGATAATGAAACCCAGTGAACCTAACTACATTCTAGTCTACTATGTGCTGTGAACCCAGCCTGTGTGGATAGTGTAGGGTTTAGTATGTTGCATGAACCCGAAGTATTAGGTTATTTGAATGAAGTCTGGGGGGACGTCAGCAAGCACATTCACAGTGAGAATGCTGCCAGTAATAAGGCACAAGGAAAGAATGGAGGGAAAAGGGAGATGGCCTGAACAGCAACTTATTCTGTGGAATTCTTCCACGGGAGAGCGCATGCGTGTAATTCTATTACAGGAGAAATGTGAGCACTGAGCTTGAACTGAGCGTGGTAGGGTGGTTTCATCCTGCTACCCTTCCCTTTGTTACCTGATAGCTAATTCTGAGGTTACCGGATCTGCAGGAGCACGAAGGATCAAGGGGGAGGCTGACAAAAAGTGGTCCTGCAGAAGACATATCTAACCAGCTAAAACCTGGGAATGGGCTGTTGCTGTCCCTTTCATGGATCTTGAAGGAGGGAGAATGAATCTTTTCACTGGTAGGGCAACATAATTTCTCCATCCACCCACTCTCTGCAATGAGGATTAGCACGACCTGTATTTGTTCTTTCATAATTTTTACAGCAGGAATGCTTCAGGGTAAGTCAGTCTCTTTGCAGCAGGATGGATGAGAGGGACTGCTGAAGCATGTGTGCTGGTGTAAGCAGATAAATGGGCACAGAGTTGACCCCTGCAGTGCTGCTGTTTCTTTTAAAGTTCAGTGGAAATTTTAGTCCTGGAAGAAACAAATGATTCTTTATCAGAACTTTTTAGAACTGTAGCTTTCAGGATTTCTTAGCTGGGATCTATTAAAATGAAAAAGGTTTTTTAATTGTATAATAAGGTAACTTTATTCTTAAATCATAAGAAGAATACAGTATTTCAAGTTTCTTAAAGACTTGAACCCATTGATTTTCCAAAATGGGGTAATCCCATTTTTCATTCCGCATTTCAGGTATATAACTAATGCTAACCGTCATCCTAATTCATAGTTCTGCAACTCTTGTAACAATATAGAACATCTTGTCCCATTCAATGCTTCATAAATTATTCATTGCTTAATAAGAGGAGAATCGCATCCAATCCGTCTTCTTAAAAGGCATAGCGATAAAACAAATGCTTTAATTCACTTCACCATCCAGTAATTAGGAACCATTATTGCTGCAAAGGCAAACAACAGTGCCTGGCACAAGTTTCCTGAACTGCTGTTCCTCGGATCTTTTTTACTTGAAGTTTAGAGGGAAGCCCCGGCAGCTGAATGAGAACTAACAATTAAGTTTGATTCAGTTCATTTGATCATGAATAAGGACACTTGTTTCCTACGCACAATGGGAGATGGTGGTGTTACCACAGGTTATGTCTCTGGTGAGTGAGCATTGTGCTTATTTTACACGCATTTAAGCTTTACCTGAACATCTGTAATCTGTCCTTCCATCTTGTTGCAACTTGATTCCCCTGAACAGTGTCTTTTTTACATGTGTCTTTTTTTATCAATTGTTTTTAAGAATATAAATTTGGTTACACCCAGGCATTGACGCAGCACAGGGAAAATACGCTCAAATGCTGTTTAATGAACTGTTTGAAGGCTACTCAAATGCTCTCCGACCTGTTGAAGATACAGATATGGTCCTGAATGTTACTCTTCAGATCACACTTTCCCAAATTAAAGATATGGTAAGTATCAAAATATAATATACAGAGTAATAATATGTCTTGAAGGGTTGTTGTTGTTTTTTTCAAATCTTGTTGGGATAATTGGAATTTAAAACAAGTTGTAGGCAGTTTATATAATTACTCCTTATGCTGGCCGAGGCAGTTGTTTAATTTCAGAACTATTTTTTCCTAAGCACATTATTGCAAGCTACTCTCTCTCTCTGTGTGTGTGTGTGTGTGTGTGTGTGTGTGTGTGTGGTGGTAGTAGTGTAGTAGTAGGAAGAAGAAGAAAGTAATC